CCTCAAGAGCGCTGACGGAGACAGAAACCAGGTATGCCCAAATTGAAAAGGAATTATTGGCAATCGTTTGGGCCACCAACAAATTTGATCAATACATCCTTGGTCGCGATATTGTACACATTGAATCAGACCATCAACCACTGAAAGCAGTTTTCGCAAAGCCTATCCACAAATCGCCTAAAAGATTGCAAAGAATGTTAATGGACCTACAGAGTTACACACTAGAAATTCATTACAAGAAAGGAACATTAATGTGGATTTCAGACACTCTGAGTCGGGCATACCGAAGTACAACCGAGTCTGCCGAACATGACATAAGCGAAGTACGTGCATTAGAAGAAATTAACCACTGCGAAGGTGTGTCAATAGCTCCAAACAGGTTAAACCAGTTTAAACAATGTACATCAACAGATCCAATGATGCAACAACTCACCGCTATCAATACAGGATGGGCAATAGACCGGAAACAATGTCCACCGGCACTAATTCCATTCTATAACAATCGAAGCGAACTTATTGAAGATAATGGATTAGTCTTCTTTGGGGAAAGACTCGTCGTGCCTTCATCCTTAAGAAAAGAAATGCTACAGCAAATTCACAAGTCCCATATAGGTATTGAGGGTTGTCTGCGGCGAGCACGGGAAGTGATATATTGGCCACGAATGAATGCGGAGGTGAAAGATTATGTTTCAAAGTGCTCTATATGCCAAACACACCAGCCGGAGCAGTGTCGTGAACCACTGAAGTCCTACGACCTACCACAACGACCATGGTCAGTGGTTGGAGAGGACCTATTTCAATTGGGACATCAGCAATTTCTTATCATTGTTGACTACTGGAGTGGGTTCTTTGAAGTTCAAGAGTTATCAAAAGTTACATCGAAAACTGTCATCACTGCATCAAAGGTCCAATTTGCGAGGCATGGAATTCCGGACACCCTGATCTCCGATAATGGCCCTCAGTTTGCGTCAGCGGAATTTGCCCAGTTTACAAAAGAGTGGCAAATTGAACACCGAACATCGAGCCCACACTATCCTCAATCTAATGGACGTACGGAAAATGCAATGAAAACTTGTAAATCCCTATTAAAGAAAGCAAAAGCCAGCGGTGAAGATCCTCTATTAGCATTACTAGATTGGAGGAACACCCCGACTGGAAATATTGGAACCTCACCAGCGCAAAGATTAATGGGTCGACGTACTCGTACGTTGCTTCCCACACATCAGAGTCTTCTTAAAACACCGGAACAAAACGGAACAAAGAAGGAATTAGAGAACCGCAAAGCAAAACAAGCAAGGTTGTATAACAAGAAATGTAAATCGCTTGAGCCCCTACAAAGTGGATGCACCATTAGAATGAATTAACTTCCAGGCGATAACCGTTGGTCGCTTGGTACCTGCGTACGTGCACTCGACAACCGATCTTTCGAAGTCGAGGTTTGTGGAAGGCGATATCGCCGTAATCGCCGTCATCTACGTGCGACCAAAGAGATGGCACCACCTCCCAACGCGAAAGATTCCCAAATCGAACCGAGCGCGCCGATCGAAAAGGACCTCACCCCAAGTTTACCAGTCGTGGAACATAGCACCCCAACTAACCCTTTAACTCATGAAACAGGAAATGAAAATCAGGTAGGCAGTTCTGGCAGTAATGGAGGTCGAACGCCGAGTGAAAGTGACGCGGAACAAGAAGAGACAATCCCTCGTCGAACTACGCGAGTGCGACGTTCGCCAGATTGGCATAAAGATTACGAGAGACACTAAGAATTATCACGCATTATTTATAGTTATATGTTAGGCATAAACACTATGATGCCGTTAAACAATTTCGTTGGGACACAAAAATGTTAGGTATATGTTAGGCATAAACACTATGATGCCGTTAAACAATTTTATATTGAGAGGGAGATGTGGCGATGACATCATCGTAGATGTCACGTGAGTTGATGTTGTCGAGTTTTTAGGGCTCTATGTTTTAGGCACAACACTGACAAGCTGAGTTTCAGACATGTTATACTAATCGAAGTAATAAAGACTTTTGGGTAACAGTTATAAATATCGTTACAAGTTGCAACACTTGCACGGACACCAGCAGATTGTACTTTTCGCTACGTACACTGGAATTCAAAATTTAAGATTTATGACTTGTTAACTTATTACATATGTTTTGGCGCCTAGTTTGAACACAACGCTTCCAAATGAAATTGGGCACAGTGCCCAAGAAAGGGCACTATACTTCTAGAGGTAGTACTCAACAACGGCACTATGCTCAACATGTTTTGGGAACCAGTTTGAACATTGCGCACCAGTGCCGGCCACTGAACGCAGCTTACTACCACGTTTTCAATTTTTAGATCTATACCATTCACCAAAGGCAACACTAACACTCACTAATCGTTCACTACGGGATGCATTAGTTTCAGTTTAAGGTTTCCAGGAACTCATTAATATTTAATGACATTACCGAGAAAAACGTGGCATGGGCTTGTAAGTTATGGCGTCTAGTGGTAACAACAGAACGCCGCACAGAAATCGCTCTTTCAATGATGATGATATTGAGAATAGGATCCGAAGACGGGAGTACAGTGAAAGAGAAACGTATATCCCATCTAGTAACGCGGCTCAGCATTTTCAAACAAGACCAGATATGCTGCCGAACTTTTCTCAAATGCAACTTAACGACGACGACACAAGCTCACAAACACGACAGCATCTGGCAGAACTTCAAGCTGAAATAGCAGAGGAAGAAGACTCTGCAACTATCGTGAGAAGTCCTCCACCAGCCCCTCGACATGGCCCGAGCACACGAGAACAAATACGTAAATCCGAGGAAAAGTTGGTATTCATTCGCGCTCGAAAAAACGAAATTACTCAACTGTTTGAAACAATGAAGCGTTCACAAACGGTAGATCTTTGCTTTCTTATTGATTGCACTGGTAGTATGGATCCCTACATTGCTCAAGTAAAGACGAAAATTGACAATTTAGTTGAACATTGTAAAATGACATTTGCTGACTTAGTTCTTAAAGTGGCTTTCGTTGGCTATCGAGATCATGACGATGAAGAACGAATTATTTCCTTACCGTTTACCGGAGACATTGCTTACTTCAAATCCTTCGTATCAAAAATCCGAGCTGACGGCGGTGGTGACGCTGCTGAAGACGTGTTTGGTGGTTTGGAAAAAGCTGGTGAACTACAATGGTCAGCTCCGACTCGTATACTCTTCCACGTTGCAGATGCACCTTGTCATGGAAGGCAGTATCATGACGCCAGTGTCCTAGATTATTATCCCAATGGCGACCCAAGAAGTTTGAACGCCAAAGATTTGTTGAAAATTCTTGAAGATAAGAACGTGAAATACTGGTTTGCCAAGCTCACTGATAAAACTGACAAGATGATAATCGAGTTCACTCGTCTAATGAGGATGCCAACAATGCTTCAACAAGTAAGAAATTTGAGTAACAATATCATGATATTTAATACAAGCAGTGGTAAATCCTGATTTGCAAAATGTTGTTTAACTTGTCAATGTGCGTGAAAAATCTACTGAGTACTGAAGTCCTTTTAATCTGAACAAGTCTAGACAAAAATTCCATCACAGTTTGAAATAAAGAGCATCACAAAATTAGTAATATTCCAAAGTTACGTGGCCAAAGCCAAAGGTTGTAAAATGCGGATAATATAGCCTTGCGAAGTTTGCAATTTTCAGTCATTTTAGATTACAAACGGGAAATTGACAGCCCCAAAGGCAAAGGGTATTGGGCTGTCAATTTCCCGTTTGTAATCTAAAATGACTGAAAATTGCAAACTTCGCAAGGCTTTACAACATTTCGCAACGAAACTTTGGAATATTACTAATTTTGTGATGCTCTTTCAAGCTGTGATGAAATTTTTGTCTAGATCAAAATTTAGTCTATTACGCAAGTGGTCAATTTATAGACCGCACTATCTTGTTTACAACTATGTTCAGACATGCAATCTTTCGAATAAGGTCCGTTCTGTTTTACCCGCATATATTCTGAACCAAACGTAACGGAGCACTGAGGGGGCCCTTAGACAAATTTGGTGTTGGAGGAGCCGGGGGCTAGCCTGCTCACAGGCGTTGTAGTTCTTACGCCAAGCATATCGTCGCTTGGCGTAAGAACTACAACGTCTGTGAGCAGGCTAGCCGGGGACCCCTGTTGACTGATATTATATTTATATTGAATATTTATAGAATGTTCTGGAAAATTCCGTGTCTATAACAATACCAACAACAGTCTCCAACACATGTAACAACTAATAAGAATAACTTTTTGTTTTATTTGAGATGGAATAAAAAAATCAGCTAGCTGCCGTTGTCGTCGTTGTTGATGGAAGCTTTATTATTTAGCATTATTAATTTTGCATTTTCCCATTGACTCTTAACCTGTATTTCAGTTTACGTTTTCTAATTTTTTCTTGGGGGGGGGCATTTTTTGAAAAGGGACTTTTCTGTGATATAATATATTAGAGGGGGATAGCAATGGCTGAAGGCTACGTGTGTCGCCAATATACCACTCAGGAATGGGAGGTGGTCTGGAGTATCCCCCAGAAAATATTTGAAATTTGAATCCCGGAAATGTCATTTCCTGCATTCTGAGCATCCAAATTTGCTCCAAAATTTATGCTAACTATACTTGTATTTGAAATAAATAAAGGAAAAAACGCACAAAAAGTAAAAATTAATTAACCATCATTTATCATTACTTATTAGAGCTCGAGGGATAATCCCCAGAAAATTTTTGAAATTTGAAACCCGGAAATGCTATTTCCTGCATTCTGAGCATCCAAAAAATAAAAAAATTATTAACAATAATTTATCATTACTTAGTGGTAGAAAAAGTAAAAATTTAAATCGATTTTGTTAAACAAGGACAAAAGATAAAGCCTAAAACTTACTTTCCGTTTATGTATTTGTTAATCTTCGCTGGTTTGTTTCTATAATTTTAGGGAGAAGGGACTTTTCCTGGGGGGGGGGGCAAAATGTGATTTCGTGGGAGGGGGACAAGGGGGGACTGGGGGGCATTCCCCCCCCAGCTTGTATGTTAAAAAGGCCCTGGATGGGAGCCCCTAACTGGCTTAGTTTTTTAACTAACCCTACCCAGTGAGCGTTATGCCACTGCTACCAATCACATGAATATACTTGTGACAGCGTTCATATTAAGATTTTATTTAACTATTCTCCCCAACCTAGCTGTTTATAGTGAACATTTATCTTTTGGGGATAATATAATGTAGGATTTCTACTATGATACTGATTAGCTATATACTTGGTTGAATTGTAGGACATGTACATTTTTGATATTATTCATAGGTTCCTACGCCAGTGTAGTAAAACATGATATTATGATATAGGTAAAATTGCAATCCGCTGAAGATTTAATGTTTGCTGTTGCTGACTCCGTCTCGTCTTCTATCCGCGATATGGAGACAACTACATTAGCAGCCGCCGCCGTAGATGCATTTTCGCGTGATTACAACACAGTCGTGCAGCGTCCAGGGGCAACACGTAAATTGAAAGAGTTTGCCATTTGTGAAATAATTCCTGATTGGAGCCTCATTAGTGTCGAAAATGCGTACCTGTTTCGAAAAAAACTGCCAGGTAATATGAACCTTGCTGATAGCTTGAAAGAGCCGCTTAAAGAAGAATGCAGAAAACGTAGAATACAGATCGCTACTCAACCATTTGCAAAAGGAACCCAAAGGATCGTCTATTATGGAATCGATTGCACTTATGACCCTTCCAAGAAAGTCGTGTTTAAGGAGTTCAAGTATTTAGGAGAAGGCCTGAATAAATTGGCATCGTACAAGGAGCAAATGGAGGTCCAGTCGATTTCGGCATTCCTTGCACTGGAATTCAACAAGCAAAAACCAAGAGGAATTAAAGATATCTCGTTTACGAAAGTTGTTGTGATAAGCCTCCGTGACCGATCCAAACCTTTTTACTGCTCCCAGGAACCCCTTATCGAAGGTCCTTACGTGAAGTACAACTCCAATAATGGATTTGTCAACAAAGATGAGTATGCAGCCAGTTTGAATGCGTTCAGTCATTGGACATACCAAGTAACCGATGGCTATCTTATGGTTGTTGACCTCCAAGGAGTTAAGATTACCAGCCCTACTGGACCCAAGTTTACCCTCACAGACCCAGCCTTGCACTGTAAAGATGTGACTAGATTTTGCAGCACCAACCTTGGCCCAGCTGGAATGCATCGTTTCTTCCGCACACACCACTGTAACAGCATTTGTAAAGCCATGAATTTGCAGCCTCATCGTCATCAACCAAAATCGTCAACTATGACTGAACAGGGAACATTTGCTCTGGTCTAAGAAAGATGATACACTCCATGAGACCATGTTAACATATTATACATATACATAATACATTATTATTCAAGCTTTCATTAAAATATCATAATATAATGTAGTTTTCATACCCAGTAACCCGCTATTAATTTGATTTCAATTCCATTCAGTAAATCAAAGTTTGAGTCTTGACATCACATGTAACATCAGCGATATTCGTGATATACAGGACAGCAGATGGTGGTCAATTGCAAAACGTGGTAAAGAATCATTTTCTCATTACTTCAGTATATGCCAGTTAGGCCCATGCAGTTGAGTCGTTGACCATCATCAAATCAGCGTATATATAGTGAAACCATTGTGTGAAGCACTGAAGCCCACCTATATATGCTATACATAGACGGTGAACATTTATCTGTTTTTATCTGAAGTCATTATTTATTCCATATATATTATACATGCAAACGAAAGCAAAAATATGTCCACGTGAAATAGTAGGAGTATGTGTGTTATATTTTCATTCTTGTTCGTCTTCCGGCTGGACCCAGACTCAGGCCAGACCAAATTATTAAAATAACTGAAGGGAAGATGGCCTCATCTCGTAAAACCGACTTTCCGACATCTTTTCGGATATAGGTCGTTAATTAAATCGTGCAGAGCGAAACCGTTTATCATTATGAGGATGCATAAACTTGTTTTAAGAATATTATAAAACAAGTTTAAACAAATTCACTCAGACAAACCATGCAGTTTAATACAAATTTTAATATTTCAACACAGAATATTAAACCAAATCATAACAAGCTAGTGATGGGTAATGACCGGTATAACATGTTTCAACACGCGTGGGTTTGTTTGCGAGTTAACCACTGAATGAAAAATTTGAGCTCGATCGGACTCGGTAATAATACCGTTATCGTATGTATCTTTCTAGATTCTTTATATTCAATATTCTTTGTTTTCTTTAATATTTTGTTTGATGAATCTCCACGTAATTTTCGATATTCGCTGTTGCCACATGTGCATTCTTTCTAAAACTAAAAGATATATTGTGTTCTACAGTATGTCACTTTGGCCTTTGTTAGCGTTCTTTCACCTGCAGTGATCAGGTTAACTTTTGTGTCCGTCGAAATCCAATTAGTTATAAGTGGGTGGCGTGGGCACTAAAATTAAAACGTAAAATTGAATTTTTCTGTCTAACTGATTTTTCAAATATTCTGAGTGATCATCTATGAACTTGTGTTAATGTTATTCAGTTTGCCATAGTGTCAACAGTTACGTTAAAGGATCACGTGCAGCAATCCACTAAATTCCACCACTTGATATGATGGATAATCTAGCTGGACTCTGGAGTCAAAGCTAGAGAAAGCTACAGTAGCATACATTTCCCTTGCCTTGTGTCGCGTTAAAAAAAGATCATTTTATTTTAACTGATAGAGAACTGTCATTAATACTTTCCATGTACTATAGTTATTACGGACATGCAGACTGCAGAGTGCTTTTATAGCGAGCAGTTCTATTACACACAAAATGTAATGCAGTTCTCAGTACTAAATCCATTTGATATGGCCAGTTCTAAAAATATAAACGTGCAATTAGATTAAACGCTATTATACAGAGTGCACTAGCCAGAGATGCAGTCATCGAGATTTAAAAATATAAATTTTCTGGGGAAGATCCCCCCCCCCTCCTAATTTCTGTACATAACAAGATAGATAGATATTTTATTACATGCATGATGACTGCATTGAAATTCTGTGCATAGTTATGGATTGAATTTATAACTTAATTTTCACTTCAGGTGCATTTTAACATTAAAGTTCCAATATAGAGGTAAAATTCTTTAGTAAACCCTCTCCACATGTTTCGCATCATTTTCCTGAATTTACAGTTCCAAATTTTCGTTAAATCCCAGTGTATGGACTAGTTCTAAACTTCATGCAATCCAATATTTGAAGAAGAAGAAGAAGAAGACTATTCAGCACGCTTTTATATACAAAAATAAAAAATATACAAAAAATTTTTAGAACGATTAATAATTAATCAATAGGACAAAATAATTCGTGCTGGGTTTCTGAGATAACCATATACAGTTAATCGAGTCAGATAACCCATTTGAATTAAATTACTAATATTCAATTAGCTGGGGGATTGATGGTATTATATAGAGATTTAAGAAAAATAAATTTTTATATTTGAGGGTTAACAATTAGTCCAATCTTGGTAGGAAGCGGCAAATTGTTATCTATAGATTCAATATCATGCATTACCGACAGACGTTACTGATGAAAGAAGAAAAGGCGAAGAAATTTTAAGGTGCATTACAAGGAAACGTAAAAACTAAGGATTCGTTCCAGCTCAGGTAAATTAAGTTGCATCTCAATTGATCACCCATTAGACCGGAGCACTGTATGAGCCATGTTAATTGATACATAAATTTCAACGATCATAGGATCAGTAAACAAAATACAGCTCACAATTCATAATGATGTGCGAATTGTGCGAACCTGCTAATCAAGACCTGCTAGTCTGCAACCTGCAAAACGAACCAGCCGACATAATTATCATCTAAGCTCTTTAATAGTCAACATTCCATTCAATTCAAAGATCTTAGTTATCTTTCAACATTTCAATTAAAGACATACTTTATTGGAGAGCTAATATTTCATTCTTTTAAACTTTCTCAAAGAAGTCACATCTAAAATTGGATATATCAACAATTTACTCTCGACACATGTAGAATGTTTTTGACGAATTTAAGACCGAATGTGCTACAAATTGTTTCCGAAACTAATATAATATACATGAAAAAATTGGTTAAATTACTCAGTTCTGAAAAATACTCAGTTTTGATTGGCAGAGCAGTGCAATTTTATTTATTTAGTGCAAAAGTAATTCAGTGCCAAAAAAAGTAATGTATAGTTTCTCATGCAATTGAATAACATATAGTACACTGGTGCGAAAACCGACTACTCGGTGCAAAGCCGACTACTCAAAACCATACTCAATGATTATCTATACAAATTTCTCTGACTCGGCAAACCAGGCTCTGTATGAGTTTAAAAATTATATCACAGGCAGCCGCAAGTGTCAATTATTATATTTTAGCTTATAAAGTGGTGTAAACAATAAAGACTGAATAACTGAATCGACTTACTTTGTCCTTGATTATGCACGCGACTGAAATGAGTGAACACGAAGTCAAAGACAAACGGTAACAAAGTAAGTTGATTTTTATTAAGTCTTTGTTGTTTACACCACTTTAAGCCAAAATACAGTAATATTTGCCCGTTATATATCTACACGAATTTTTAACACATACACTCAGGGCCTTTTTAATTAGATAACTGGGGTCCTATGCCCCCCCCCCCCAACCATTTTGGTCTCCCCTCCCAGTCAAAGTCCCTTTTCTCTAAATATATAAGCAAAACATTGGAAGAAAAAGGAACTGATTTAGAAGGGAGGTTTGATATTCTAGTCGGCTGAAATTTTCTTTGTGAATCTAATGTCCTGAGTCTTTTATCTTCAAATGATTCAATGTCTATTTTAAAATGATAAACATTGCGTTGTAAATACCTTAGATTTTAAAAATTTCCCAGTGGCCGGATAGCATATCCCACTATCCCGAACCCTATAGATTTGCTAGTGTAACAGTGTTGGAAACTTGGAAGGCTAGGCTAAACAAGTTAGTCACTCGGTTATATAGTTCTGGTAGTGATTTACATAAACATACCATGCAAGTACTTAACTGAAGATTCGGTCTATCTGCAGTATAATGTAACACTCTATATACAAAAATCTGTTTCAGAAAACGCACAGAATGCAGTCCTAGCCTCCTAGGGGTGGAAAAATATAAAATGTTTCTGGGGAGAACGCCCCCAGGCCCCCCTACTATTACATACGACGCCACACCAAACTTTTTGTTACCCGCAATAACCATCTGCCATCTCTCCACACTCAGTATAGTCAACCTCGTACCCGACCCTGGGAACGAGGTTGCAGTATAGTATGGCCGGTCTCTTTTTGTAAATCAGAAGATGAACGTGAAGACAAATGTCAGTCTGGCCGGCTGCAATTATATCAGTTCTTTAATTTAGTTAAATTGTTACTCTACTCTGTTTTATTTGTCACTGAATCGACTGTCAAAGGTTTCTTGGAAAAAATTCAAAACAATAACTGAACTATTACGATGTCAAATATAAATCGTATGAAAAGTGAGTGATACGTCATACGTGCAATTTCGCGCCCATTTTGCCAAAATTAACATACGTTGCGAAGAGATTGGACACTAAAGGGTTGGCAAGTCATGAGCTCATCGTAAACAACGTCAAAGAAGGGAAGTTCGAATACTTCAAATTTAAAAATTTTATTCAATAATTGCAGGATTTTTGCAAAATATTCACTATCTCTGCAATCTATGGAGCATTAGTGTGAGTTCTAGCTTGATTGTGTTTACTTACGTTTGGTCTAAACCATCGGTGTTAGGGAAACAAGATCTTGCTGGAATGCAAACTTGAAGGAAGGAGTTTATACGTTGGTATGGCAAGAGCTGAGAGCCGGATTTCCAGTGTGGGTGGAGCAAGCCAAAACAGTTCTTAGAGTCTTACATTTCTTACTTCTTTCATATTGTGGTAAAAAATATTCCACCAGTCATTTCTACATCACGCTCGAACAAAGTGCTAACAGCACAAGGACTACAAGTAGACTTGAACTCTCTTAATTTTGTACTTGTACCAGTGTGTTTTTAATAATACAACTGTGTGTTTGAAATATTTATAAACGTTGCAATGCGTATCAATATGACATCAACATTAGTTCCTTTACTCAAATCAAAAGTGGACGAACTATTTTTAAAATGGCTATCAACAGATGAGACACAGAAATGCCTTCAAGAAGATCTAAGTCGTATTTTACATGGTGTGTCCCCAGCTGCCTTTGAAACCCCTGTCATTTCAACTGTCGTCAGTGCTCGACCAGCATCACCACCAGCTCCACCTACTGCTACACTTACCACAAGATCACCGAGAAGTCCTAAACCTGTGAAAAAGTTGAACAAACCCCATAGTAAACCAATTGACTCACCGCTAGCAAGTTTGGATGTCAGTGACAGGTGCACTGCAGCTATACCTCGCTTTTATTATCCTAAAGGCACTCCTTCTCATAGTACTAAACAGCTGGATGAAAAAATCTCACGACAAGTTGAAAGTGTTTTCAAAAAAAATCAACGGATACCTATGAATGAGTTTTCCAAAGTTACTAAGGTAGGTTGATTAACCCATTAAAGCTGCAATGCACCCTAGGCCACCAGTTTTTGATTCCATGCTTTACTTGTGCTGACTAAAACAAAATTGGCTTATAATAAGACTATGCCATTTCAAGTGAACTTGTACGTATGTAGTTCAGCAATCACCATGGAATTAAGGTATCAGTTTACCGTCACCTAAAGTTTCAAAAGTTGATGCGGATTTTTTTCATTCGATATTCATTATTTTTCACGATTTGAATTTGTCAAATTTTGAGCTAAAAATTCGAATTTCAACCAAAAAAATTCTCTATATCTTTGCAGTGGCTTCGCTAACTGTATAAACAAAGTCAGTATTTGCAAAAAATTTCAACAGAAAGCCATTTTTGAAACACTTGCCATACAAATTTGACAAATAATGGAAAAATATTGAAATAATGAAAATTTCACACAGCTGACAATAACACAGGGGCGGGTGATGGTAAACTTACACCATAATTCCATCGATATCGGCCATATAGATGGCAAACATTTTTCATTTGCTGAACTGAATTATAACTGGAATGTTGAAGGTTTTTATAGATGGAAGTTTGGTCATTTTTGAGTGAAAACTAGAACTAACTGGGAGACTGGCAGTTAAGTTGTGAAATTATGCAACCATTGGCCCTCCAGCATGAATCAAGCCTGCACCAGTTTTGGTCTAAAACATGTGTAGTTTTCACTTGAAATTTTCATCTACAAAAGATGCAATTTTTGGAGTTAAGATTTACAATTTTGGTTAACAATATTATTGAAATAAAATTTAATTTCCATATTAATTAACCCACTAAGTTACATTGCACCTAATATTCCCTCAATGGGTTGAACCGTATTTGCCACAAAATTAGCATTACCAAATCGAATGTGTAATGTTTTACTGCATCTGCAATTATTACCTTTTTGAGATGCATGGTAATTTTGTTATTATTTAAGTTCTGAAAAAAGGTAATTGTAATTGGGAATTAATTAATTATCTTTTGAAGCAAGTAATTGTAATTGTAATTAATTCCTTGTTGAGCAGTAATTTTGCAGCTCTGCATTTTGGTGCGACTTGGTTTATTGGCATGTTGTTAACCCACTATTTTACTCAGTCTTTACTTGCCTTGGGTATTAGTGTGTCAAGCAATTGAAAGACAATATGTTGTGACAAAGGCTCCAGCACTGCATGTGCATGCAGGTTTGAACTATTTGCAAGAAAATCAGTGATATGTAATTCATATAAATCATGCTAGTTCCAGACTAGACTTAACCAGTTACTTTCTAAGAAATTTTAGCACATTGTTTTGTAAAGTGATATGCAGTTTTCATAATTTTTAAAACATTGATGTGCAAATTGCATATTGGATACTGTTAATTCGAACCCTGTGTGTATTGTCACATTTCAATTGTCTGGCATATTAGACAGAAAATCTTAATTAGCCACTTTAGGCATAAATGAACGGGTTTACTTTAGGCATAAATGAATGGATTTGCTTTGCTTTGCTTGGAAACTTAAACATAGCTAGTAAAACTTTTATTAATTGTGACATGGACTTATAATCTGAACAATTATGACAAAAAATCCTGATGTCTGCTTCTTGAATTTGAAAATGAAAGACTTTTTCTTCACCTTGATAGTATCAAAATACACAGGTAGATACCTGTTTTAGCATCTTTCAAAGAAACAAGTATAAAGAGATGCTTTCAGTGTATCATTTTGTGAAAACCTTTGTTTTCAATTGATGAACTTTAATGAATGATGGAGCCAAAATTATAAATATGGTTTATTCAAAATTTTATAAGTCATTACTGGTTAAATTTCTTATGGCATGGCATGGTAACGGATAATATATTGAATACATTAATTAATAATATTTATGTGCAGTACATAAGAGTGAGTCATATGAGCTAAATTGTTCAATGTCCAATGACAATTTAATATAGAGTAACCTTTGCATATGATATCATTTTTTAAACCAATATAAGTATATAATGAGGCTAAATCTTTATATTATAAATGTCAGAGACAGAGGATGTTTGTTAATTAACACAAACATAATCACTCTTTTTCTCACCAATATTAAAGATCCAGGCTTACGGATCGAAAGCTTTGCAGTAATAAATTTATGTGGTGTTTCCACAAACAAAACTATTATATGTTTTATCGCCATGCATGCAAACGTACAAAGAACTTTTATTTCAGTTAAGGCGATGCTTATTTTTTTGTTTTTGGATTACGGATTTTGCTCACCAGTATTAAAGAGCGGGAGGGCAAAAAATAAAAAATACAAAAAGAAAGAATTGTCTAATATATGTGATACAACAGGCTCAGCTGTGACATGTACATTCAAATTAAGTTAAACCATCACCCTGCACGTCATGAAGCGCTAGTCTGACTTTAATTATTCTTGGCCATTTTATATTTTTGGGTGTATGGACTATAGACATTAATACTTTCTAAAATGTGGACGGATGAGAAAAACACATAAAAATTGATGGGAGATATTTATATTTTTCTGGTTTTCACTGAAAAACACACAAGGTCGGGAAATCAGTAATCCAACAAGAAAAATAAGGTGGCCTTAAATTTCAACTAGAATTTTAGAACATTACCTAATATATAGAGATCTGTGTTGTAATAAGTTAGTTTCAATGAAATAAGAGTATGAATAAATTTTGACGAAACGTCACGTTTGCTCTTATTTTCAATATAAAATACGTTTGCCACCCAGAAAATGTCTTGTGAATATATAATTTTGTTTATGACATGCATATAAATGCCGATGGGATATGCTTTGGCAGATGAGATACTCAGTCATGCAGTCATCATTCACGTTTAGCTTCCGCATTTCTCTTTAAACTTAAAATGCCAAATGATATTTTTTATTGAACCAACTCGTCTAAAACGACATGCATATTATGCTTAGTTACTGTATAACTATAGTGTAAGTCAGAGAAGTGAAGGTGTAGTATTGTTCTAGAAATTTCATGGTGACACTTAATTAGTCTTATTAGATGCAATGAGTGCCAAACTAAGTCTAAGACCTGGCGGAATTTAGCTATTGTCTACTGTAGATATAAAGGTTTGTTTTATTCAAGATATTGAGTGTCTGCATGCATGGTTTTTTAACTAACCTCTAATGACCTTAGCTTTAATATATTATAGGCTTAACAGATTGAAAATAGTCAAAGACCCTACCTCGATTATATATAGAGGATATTACAAGGCAGCGCGAAGATATGACTTTTATCTTCGAGTGGTGAAAACAATATTTTACGAACGAGCGCAGCGAGTGAGTAAAATATTGTTTTTAACACGAGAAGATAAAACTCATATCTTCAAGCCACCGTGTAATGTTCTGTTTATTTTATAGTCCCATGAGCAAAAAATTGTGAAATTTCACGCTCGAAAGCAAATTGAAACAAGTCACGTGATCGATATTTTCACTAGTGAAGATATGGAAAATATCTCACTGTGTATTTTTCAGTATCTCACTCTCTACTATATATACTAATAAGTTTTACGTAGTCTATATAAAGGTATATATAATATTACTAATCATCTTTGCCATCGGTATTCAGAGACCTCGTGAAAACAGCAGAGAACTCAAAGTAAAACTGTCAAAAGTCAAAATGCTATATACTTTTGTTTTGGAAATAATAGTCCAATAAATGGAATTTATTCCATTATTTTTTGAAAAGTGTAAATATTTTTCTTTTATACATTTTTTTCTTTTGAAACAAACATCAGAAAGTTCTTTTATTGAGCTAAAAATAACTAAAAGTAAAGATATCTCTTTATGACTTTATTTTAAACCTGCACAACACTACAGGATCATTAAAATAATCCAGTTACAATGACAATGTCAATGTTAGACCTGACGATAAGTTGTGTTTCCTTATACATGTAGTACTCCTTGTTGCCGGATTTTCGTGCGTAGGCTATATCGTTGTATATATAAACGAGAGAAATGGCGGTTCCGGTCATAAGCATGCAGCATATGTGAAATGCCAAAATATCTAATGAGTAATGTTTAAGATGACTAATGACCTAAAAGTACTTAGGCTTAAGCCTTTGTTTGGATTAAAACATTGTACTTATTTCCATCGCCATGACAAGGCACGAGGCGTGACGTATTGTCCTCATTGCTCTTGAATTGTAATATACATTCATTGCAATTTAAAATTAAAAATATGTATAATATCTACTGTATGCTATACTGTATAGTTTTTGTCTTTTGAACAACTGTTTAAAGTTTGGAATAGAAACTTTGATTATTCTATAATAATTATTCTATAGGAATAGAATAACCAATGGTTTATTTACGTGGTTGCTTCGTTTCATAATTTTGTTATAGAGTATATGGATGCAAATATTTTGTATTTTTAGGCATGTCAATTTCCATTATATTGGCGAAGTATCTTATTTAACTGCTGTGGTGGACAAAAGAATGGTTATGTCACATATCAGAATTTTACAGCAGTGTGGAAAAGGTAAAATACACAGCAAAAATTAGACGATAAGGCCTTAAAAAAGATTAAACTCTATAACAATACAGCTATGGTTAAACATACAGCCACCATCTTTAATCGTTTTAAAGGTGGTTGTAGAAGATTTTAGGTGCTTCTAGGTCGTTTTAGAGGTGGTTGTAGGTGGTTTTAGATGGTTGTGGGTGGTTTTAAAGATGGTCGTAGGTCGTCTTAGGTGGTTGTAGGTGGTTTAAGAGATTGGTGCATAGAAATACTAGTTAGTAGTACACTGCATGCTTTCTCTCAGCTTTTCCTGTAAATATACAATTGAAAGATTTGATTGTTCTAAATATTTTGGATATATGTCTGATTGTCAGTAATTGGGATCATGTGACTTACGAGTTACGGTGTTTAATTTTTGCAGGTTAACACAATCATGTCATGATGAAGCATCTAGGTTTATATATCTTATGACAAGCAATAGCAGAGATTGCCTTATATCAGAAGATTTTATCCCGCTTCTTCAGGTATTGCATTCAGATATAGTCATTCTAATTGATTACGTTTTGTGTATATATATAGTTCCACCAATTTGTTATGATTTTGTGAATCCTTCAATAAGGAGCGTGGCTTACTGGCTTTAGGAATAAAGCGCGCACTTGTCCTATAACCTGCAACACAACATGTCCAAGTTATCAAGCAACAGTCCAACCCTATACAGTACAGTATAATTTAAACCTGTTACCTGTTGCCTTTAATTTAGCTGTTTCCCTCATATTATATTATCTCATTTCCATTCTTTGCACTCATCATTGTCAAATTGGTATTATACGCTTTAGATGCATGTACAGTAATTACATTAATGGACCAATCCCCAGTTAACCAAAATTTTGAACTCAACAAGTCTAGACAAAAATTTCATCACAGCTTGAAAGAGCATCACAAAATTAGTAATATTCCAAAGTTTCGTTGCGAAATGTTGTAAAATGCGGATAATATAGCCTTGCGAAGTTTGCAATTTTCAGTCATCTTAGATTACAAATGGGAAATGGTTACCACTTCCGTGCGTAATAGAAAATGACTGAAAATCACAAACTTCGCAAGGCTATATTATCCGCATTTTACAACATTTCGCAACGAAACTTTGGAATATTACTAATTTTGTCATGCCCTTTTATGCTGTGATGAAATTTTGTCTAGACTTGTTGAGTTCAAAATTTTGGTTAATTGGGGATTGGTCCATTAGCATTCTAACTTTAATTAATTTCATTTTAGGACATTGTAGACAACCATGGTGGTTTAGCATTTTTAGTAAGTGCTCCTGAATTTCATTCCCGTTATATCAAGACGGTAAGTTGGCGTATTTTTAGCTCGCTATTTTTGGGTCTAAATTTGCTTCGCGTCTATATTAAGTGTCCAGGAAATACACATATAAGCAAATAAAAATATTATAATGACAAGTTTTACATTAAATGTACAGTAGGACTTTTTATGTCTTATACCAATCACCTATCAACAAAATCCGTATTTATTCCTGTTGTTTTTCTTTGCTTTACTATATTTCAACTTGGGAGACATTCCGTGGTTTCCTTTCCGTAGTTAATGTGATCTAATGAGTAGGGACTTCTATTTAAAAATAGATAGCATTACATTTTGCTGTTGTCTTTATTCAGTTATTGATACACAGCTGACGTCATAAGGTGGTAAGCATGCATGAACCGCCTGGGCTTGTGGATCACTGACATTGAACTGAATAGTCGCTGATGTTCTTTCCACCTTACCACAGACAATGAAAATTGTTATCTATTTCTCTTATATAATAATATTAAGCTCGTACCAAAACATTTCTAGCCTTTCAAGTGCGCCTTGGGTTCGATAGATTATACAAAACAACGCACATCATTATTAGTTCGTGATGCTATTAAGAGAGCTGCGTGTGATTGGCTTAGTGATATTATGTCCACTGAAATGGCGTCAATTAGTAGCCTTACGTCTGTCATCTAAGAAGATCATGACTTTCAACCAATAATCAAAGGCCGTTGAGGCCGACTCACGGATGAGATCAAATGAAAGTGACAGAAAAAAATTAAAGCAGTTTACAGTTGTTTTTGCAAACGAGCACCGTGCGAATTTTGCCATTTGTCGTGTTTCTTTTGCCAAATCAAAAGAACGAACGCGTGCTCCAGCCCGATTTCCGGTTCTGAACAGCCCGATTCGCAGGCAAAGAGTGCGCGCAAAGCAGGCTGGTCATTTCCCATTGTTTAGCTGCCCCACACTCAAGTAACCACAAAGACTCGCAGATGTTGCTTCGCAAATCATCGCAACATCCGTGAGTCAAAAATGAAAAGAGCAGAATGAACTCAAATTGTTTTCTAATATATTTTAGGTGATAGCAAGAATATTTTTCTTCGTAAATAGCTCGTGGTCTGGAAAAATTACACTGTCAGAATTGCGAAATAGTAATTTTTTAAAGGTTTGTGTGACAATTGATGATTCCCCTTATTGCGTTTTCGTAGCGCTTTGCATTGTGGTTATAGTGGTAACACTGATAAAGATAGCGGCCTCGAATGAAAATATTGAATGTTTTCGCGAATATTTTGTTGTTGGCTATCGCGCGCCTGACCCTAGCTTTTTTTAAAAGTTCTTGCACGGGTCAGGACAAAAAATAAGCCATCTTGAATATCAGTGATACCACTATAACCACAATGCAAAGCGCTACGAAAACGTAATAAGGGGAATCATCAATTACTTGTGTAGTAGAAACGCGTTGCGAATTATGTGGCAGGCGTTACACCCGCTGTCATCTGGAAGGAAGACACTACCATGTCTGTCACAGGCCTGCCATCTTCTAATCTGAAACTATTTCCTTTTGGGGGATATAAAGTTACTCTTTCAAATCGGCCTTGTATTTTTAGCGCAATATAATACTAAATAGTGTATATTAGCTTACTAGACCTACGGCCATCTATTTATATTTCAGCGCTTTTTCACTTGAGAAGAGGAATTTTCGGGGCGGGGCGAAGTCGCCTCGTGACGTCGATTAACCTAGCAGTGCTGCCGAGTAAAAGATCTAGGCTGAATGTATATAATTTGACAGCATGATATTTAACGTTGTGTTGGGTGGGTGGCCTTTTTATGCATTAGAGACCTTAAGATTGACGTTTACGGCAAACGTCAAACCGCTAGCGAAGTTTTTGATTTTACAACTCTATTATAATAGCTTTTACACCAGTTTTGAAATATGTTAAACTTATTAAACTTGTGCTCTTTAGCAATGATTTAAGAAAGCAAATTAACCACTAGTCATGCCATTCACCAAAGCAGTAAATTAAGATTTGGCGTTTGAAGTTGACGTTTGGCGTATAGATTTCATGCTTGAACTGCTACGAGGGCTTGTAGTCGTTAAAGCATGAAATGTATACGCCA